TTCTGATGAGTTGTTTGCGCTGTTCTGGTGATGATGTAGCCATATATCAGCTCAAATGGTGCACAGTAGTGAATCTCATCACCAAATCCAAGAGGAGAATCCCTATGCCCTATATATTTATTGGCTTCCTCTCCCTCCCTGTGAGCTCCACAGAGAGGATGATCTGTCACTACCAAAACTTGAGCTCCTACTCTGCTCCTAAGCCACTGCTCTGCCCCAGCACTTGTCTACTCTTGTTTTGCAAGTTAAAAATAAAATGGCTAGTAGATTTTAAGCACTTATAAAAGAATATGATGGCTTAGTTCACTACTTCTATTTTTTAAAACAAGTTAATATTGCAGTTGAAATTGCGAAATCACTCGAGTATGCTATATATTGGCAAAATGGAAACTTAGTAATCAGTCTCTTAATAGATTGACCATCTTCTACCAAAGTCTTTTATACTGTAATAGATATGGTATAGTATGCTGTGCAGTGTAGTAATGGAATTTTACAAAACTATTTGTATCGTACAAATGCTGCATTTTTTCTCAAAGGTTTTCTACATTATAATATGTGCCCTTTTTGATGCCAGGGACCTTTATGATTGAGAATTTTACAAATAATATGTGTATTTCAAGCTATTTGGAAAATGTTACTGAAGTAATGCTTTCCTAGACCATTATGTGAATAAAGTGGTAATCCTGAGTACCCTTACTAATAACCCCTAACCAGCAAGCTGGTTTGCAACACTGTAGAAAGAGAGGGAGTGACCACTACAGTTAAGCATGCTTACCTTGCAGTCTTTACCCCTTGTTTTTCCAAGATTAGGCAAAAATGGTGTAAGAGTGAAAAATACTTTTCCAATTTAAAAATAAAACAAAGCCAAAAACAAAAAAACCCACATGTGAACATTGTGGATATTCTATTGCTTGAAATACCCTGAAAGCAAGTTGAAAGTGAAACTTAGCATGGAGTTACCATCCTTACTTGGAAATGCCTTCGTTCTGGAGAGAATTGATTGAGTTATGAACCTTTGACAATCACATGCAATACACCTTTTGGGGTGCAGTTTGCTCAAAGACTCTTTTCTCAGAAACTTAGGGCTGACTGAGAGTTTACATTAACCCAGTGCTTTTCCCTTGCACTCTTGTCCAGCAGTCTGTCTGGGCCTTTGCTTGATGCTTCTGGTATCAAGGTCTTTTCCAGCAGGACACAAAAGCCTGGCTATAATTCATTCAGCCAGCCTGTCTGTAATTTGCAGTTCTCCAGTATGGTCAGTGGCAAGGGCAGATAGGGCTTGACCTCTGTAACCACCTGGGTGTGATTACTGTGACCTCAATTTAAAATACAGGCCTTTTGAAAGGGGCATGGAGGGTAAGGGCTGAAATGTTTTTCTGGAGTATTATGAAAAAAAGCTGTCCGCTCCATGCTCTTAACTGTCTCTACTACAAGACTGTATGGTAGTCCCTCCCAGAGATAATTTCACTCCTTTTAAAATTTACTGACATGCTCATGCTTGTAGACAAAATACACAAGGTGAAGGATACATGCAGTCTTTTACAGGCAAGAGAAACAAGGGGCTTTAAAATGAAAAATACAGTTATCTTATACTAAGAGTCATAAGTATTGTGGCTGGGTATCAGGCCCAGTCAGTAATGCAGTGATCTATATGTGGCAGACTTTTGCTTATACTGTATTCACCATAGACAGAATCATTGTAAGTATCGTCAGGTTTAGACATACTCATTTGACAGTTCCACTGAACACCGTTCAGAGGATCCAAAAAGCAGCCCTTTTCTGGTATGCCGTGTATCAACCATGTCAGCCTTTTCACACTACTCCGCAGTCGGATTTGTGTTGGTGCTTTCTGGAAAATTTGGGCAGCTGTCTCACACAGTCTCAGCTGCTGGTGCCAGAGACACAGGACTCTGTTTTCTTCACTGGTGCAGTATGCTTTCTGTCTAGGCTTTTTCTGTTGTACTTCTCAACATGGTATCTGAGCATTTACTTATTGAATTGAATACACAGTTTTTTGTTTCTCCCTCCCAAGTCACAGGAATTCTAGGTTCAAGAAGTGGGTTTTAGATTTCATTTTGAATGTGCTGAGGGTGGCTGGAATATTCTCCCACAGAAAGGGACCTGAGAGATGGTAGGACTTGCCAGCCCAGTCGTATGTATGTTGACAGTCCTATCTGGAACTTGGTTACATCTGCAGTTGGTACTCCCTTGCTGATAAATCAGCTGGAAACGTATAGCTGCAGTTTTAGGAACAACGTGTTAATTTTTGTTACAGCCTGGCTACAAACTCAAGGTCGGTCTACACTACAGATTTATGTCAGTATAACTGTCGCTCAGGGGTATGGAAATCCGCACCCCTGAGTGATGCAGATATATTAAGAATGCCTGGTGCAGACAGCTTTATGTTGACAGGAGGGCTTCTCCTGTTGACATAGCTACTGACTCTTGGGGAGGTGGAGTATCTATGCCAACGGGAGAGACTCTCCCGTTGGCATAGGTAGCATCTTCACTAAGTGCTGTATGTGTAGATAAGCCCACAGTTAAAATTTGTAGACTGATTCCCCCCCTCCACCCCCAATACTTTAGACCTAGGAAGTCTAGGAGCATCACCTCCTGATTGCAGGTTTTGGAGTCATGTTTGTTACCATCAAGCTGGTATAAAATCTACAGCTGCTTTGAAGGATTGGGCATGGATTGTGCATGTGAAGGAAGGAAAGGTCCCTCAGGCTGAAAAGATAGGTATAGAAAACCGAGCCTGGACAATATCCGGAGTTCCTACCTTAGAGGAGAGCCATATTAGTTAGTTTCTTGCCATATTAGTTAGTTTCTTGTTGAGGATGAGGTAGCATAGGAGAGAATGCATCTGTTTTAATTGAAAAGAGGAATACTCCTTGAGTGGGGTATGTTTCCAGTGGGGTCCTGCGGGGATCAGATCTTGACCCCCTGGCTGTTTAACATTTTTATCAGTGACCTGAAAGAAAACATAAAACCATCACTAAAAGTTCTCAGAAGACCCAAAAAGTGGGGGAGTGGTATATAATGAAGTTCTGGTGCCCACGGTTCAACAAAGATGTTGATAAATTGGAGAGGGTTCAGAGAAGAGCCATGATGATAATGGAAGGTTTAGAAAAGATGCCTTTTAGTGATAGACTCAAGGAGCTCAATCTGTTTAGCTTAACAGAGAGAAGGTTAAAGGATGGCTTGATTAATCTGTAAGTATGTACATGGGAAACCCATTTAATAATGGGTTTTTCATTCTAGCAGAGAAAGGTATAACAATCTAATGCCAGATGTTGAAGCTAGACAAAGGCATAAATTCTTAATGGTGAGAGTAATTAAGAAACAATTTACCAAGAGTTGATGTGGATTCTTCATCACTGTGAATTTTTAAATCAAGATTGGCTGTTTTTCTAAAAGATCAGCTCTAGGAATTATTTTGGGGCAGTTCTCTGGCCTGTGTTATACAGGAGGTCAGACTAGGTGGTTGCAATGGTCCCTCCCGGCCTTGGAATCTATGAAACTCTAGTGATAAAGTCCATTATTACTAGGGAGCTGATTGGGTTCTTCTGACTTTGGACTGATCTCCCGTTGGGTTCAGAGAAAGATAAATGCGGGATCCTTGAGATCTAGACCTCTCTTGTAAGGGGCTTGGATGCAGCAGAGACAGAGCAGCAAGCAAAGATGCAGCATGCTGCTTAGTTGTGCCAGGCAAGTGTCTGGTGTGGGCTGGTTTGGGCCGCTTCACTTGGCGGGAATATCAAGGACGCAGAGTGGGAGGACGGATGAATCCCTCCTGGAGGACTAGGGAGAAGCTTCTGTCTTGTGAATTTTGCCTGGAAGAAAGTCTGTGTGGCAGGGTCTGGACCGAATCTTTTTTGCGACCCTATGTTGTTTGATCCTGTCTAGCCAGCTTCAGGCCTGATGGAATGTGTTGCTGATGGTGGTAATTTTTTTCTTGGGGAAATCATAGTTTGAGCTAATTCATCTAGAAGTTACAGTTGATGATATACTTTGGGGTGTAACTGGAATATAGTATTCTGTATTAACTAGCAGTAGTAAATTGACTTAAACAGATATTTTATACAGGGTAAAATACCTCAACCTCTTACAAGGAAATTGCAGTGGTTGGTTCTAATACCTGGATCACTACATGGGATATTTACAAAAGATGTTGCAGCTGACTCTCCCCAAAAGTCTAGAAATACCCATCACTGTCAGTGTTTCTGTAAATATGAATGGTGCTAGTGAGTGTGGAAAGTCTAAGTTTGTGACCAAGCAGATGAATGCGTGAGGCATTTAGGAGGCTTTCTCAGATGGTTGAAAGTAAACTGTTCAAGTATAACTAGAGAGACAAGGTGAGTAAGGTAATCTCTTTTATTGGACTAACTTCTGTTGGTGAGAAAGACGTCTTTCGAGCTTACACAGAGCTCTTCTTCAGCTTAGCTCTGTGTGAGCTTGAAAACTTCTCTCTCGCCAACAGAAGTTTGTCCAGTAAAAGATAGGTGAGGTAATATCTTGTCTCTAATATTCTGGGACCAACATAGTTACCACACTTCATTCAAGTATAATTCTTTATCTAACTTGGATTAATCCATGGCCAGTCATGTTGCACAGCTAGAGATTGTTCCATTGTTGGTTAAAATCCTTTTTGTTTCTGAAGGCTGCAGGCTTCTGTGAACTTTCTTCTTTGGTTTTACATAGCAGTACAGAAGAGTCAGATTAAATCAGTTAATTTAAAAAATACTGGATGTACCTGAGAACACAGTTGCCAGCTCTTTTACTTGCAGTGAGATACTGAGCATTCCTTTTCATTTCATCAGAGGCAACATAGCAGTTTATTGGTTATTTAATAATGTTTTACTGCTAAAAGAGGATATGTTCTTACAAGCAAATGGAACTGATTATAAATCTTCTTCCTGTAGTTCAGTTGAATTACATGGAATGTTTTGCTACACCAAGTAGGACAATTTAAAAATTGACAGCTAAATTGTACTGGCATCTGGAAGATGGTAACCTTTAATCTGTATTTCCACAGGATATCATTCAACAGAACAACATTAACAGCAGCTATGCAGAACTCAGATCATACAGAGGATGACTGTAACCTAAGTAATGACAACACAGTCAACAGCACTGACGCAGCAGGAGAGCAGCTTACGGACTTCAGTACAGAGATTATGAGTGTCACAGAGATGGAACAGTCTCCCGATAGCTCTCCTGATGTAGATGAGGAGACCACACAAGAGAGTGGAATACCAGATATTCACAGTTTACACACGACTGATGTTGAGGCTCATTTCCCTCCTGAATATGAGAAGTTCTGGAAAGTGGTAGAGGAGAATCCCCAGGATTTCACAGGCTGGGTATATCTGCTGCAGTACGTAGAGCAGGAGGTTAGTACATCTTTTTCCCCAAAATGCATAGAAGGATGAATTAAGGCATTGTCTTCTGATTGCAGTCTTGAATTTAAAGTTGTATTTCGGTCCCTAGCAAATATTGTTTCAAGACAGTGGTTTTGGATTTCTACTGTACTACTGGGCCGTGTTCTTTCTTAAGGGTATAAGCTCTGACTTCAGTTCTCAAATCTCTGTGCTTTATGCATGTTGAATTCTAGCCCCTTAAAAAAGGAGACATAAGAGAGGCCATTTTGGGTCAGACCAGTGGTCCATCTAGCACAGTATCCTGTCTCTTGACAGTGGGTAAGGCCAGATGCTTCAGATGGAATGAACAGAACAGGACAGTTATTGAGTGATCCAGCCCTGACTTCTTCAGTCATGGGTTAGGGACAATCGGAGCATGGGAACACTGCAGCTCTGGCCAATTTTCATGGCCAGTTGTGATTGTACCATGTCCTCAACTAGTTGAGAGGAAAGAATAAAGATGATTAAGTCTTGAGAGCACTAATATTGTGAAACTTTCTAATTAGATTTTTAAAATAGCGTTGTTATACCTTGTAAAATCCTTTTAAAGAGCAGCTCCACCTAGCTACAAAGACATACTCATTTTACTTGCATTACAATCAAGCTAGTAGATGAATATTGCTTGTCCAGCACTTAGCACTCAGATAATGATTTACACCCACCTTCTAAGTGTTACTGCTGATGCAGGTTGTAATGCAGACATCAGATACTAACAGATAATGGCTTTTTCTCAGTCTGTTTATAAAAGTTCAAATGCTAGCCTAGTTTTGTGTGAAACTTTTTGTTTCCGTGGCTTGATGAGTTATATAGATGTCGTTGTCTATAGAATCACTGAAAACCTGGAGCCCTTCTGACAGCTAGTTGAGGTCTGGAACATCTGTCTAAAGAATCAAGTGCAGTGGCTGAGGTGAAAAGAAGCAGGTTCTGACTGAAGATGCTAGCAGAGTAGTGTGGGAATACTTAAGCTGTGCCTGCTTGCATCTTTGTAGACCTGTAACTTAAGTTAGCTTAGGTCTTAGTGTTGTAATTATTTGTGCTCATGTATATTCAAAGTTATTTATAAAACTACTGAAAAGCACGTGCTATTACGACATGGCTTTCTATGTTTGAATTGGAATGGTGCCCTCCATGTAAGTTTCAAATAACTAGAGAAGAGCATGAATTCTTTCTCAAGAATTTAAGTTATAGTTTTGTTGTATATTTCTTACAGAACCACTTGCTGGCTGCCAGGAAAGCATTTGACAGATTTTTCACACATTATCCATATTGCTATGGATATTGGAAAAAGTATGCAGACCTTGAAAAGCGACATGACAACATTAAACAGTCTGATGAGGTACGTTGGTAGCTGGATATAGCTATCACCATTTGGTCCTGTAAGCCAAATGATGACTAAACCACTGCAAGTCATTTTGGCTGCCAGTACCTACCATATATGGTCAGATTTATAGGGATTTTGTTTGCATTTGTCACTTTTTTTGTGGCATTTGTAGCTAATATTTTCTCTCTTTGTTGGCAGGTGCGTTAAACCTCTACAGTTTGTCAAGCTTTGCAGTGCAAGCCTCTGTATTACACTGCAGCTTAACAAGTAGGGCAGGGCTTTTCTGTCACTTACATTTATTTCTCATTTTCAAAACAATATAGTTGGTTTGCTGGTCACAATTGCTACATCTTATTGCATTTTTGGTCAGACGCTGTCAATGATGCTCTAATGGGTCTGTGCCCTATGGTCTGTACCCCAAAGCCTGCCCACACAACCTGGTCAGAATGCAGGGACCGCTGCGCTTTGAAGATCAAGACTCTGCACGTGGAGATCAGAACATTGCCATGTTCTATCCAACCTCCACCCAAATGGTAATGGTAGATTATTTAAACAAAATTCCAGTAATTAGTATTTCTAAGGTTCACCGGATAACACAGTGTTGCCTCTCTCTTAGGACGCTATTAAATATTTGAAGTACAGTTTATGATGTTCTCTTCATAGGTGTATCGGAGAGGGCTACAGGCAATACCTCTTAGTGTTGATCTTTGGATACATTATATAAACTTCTTAAAAGAGACCCTGGATCCTGTTGACCCTGAAACTAATAATACTGTAAGAGGGTAAGTTGGTTGTGTTTATATTAAAAAAAAAAAAAGGGAAGAAACACATGAACACAGTTGTAAATGATATGTAGCTACAAGAAAAGGTAAAAATCTTTAGACATTCAAGCAAAGCTGAAGTAGCATCTAGCTGCATCGATGTCTCCATTTTTGTCTGATAAAATAGTTCCATTCACTCCTCAGAGCCTTGGGACTAAGCTCTTAGAGAGAAACTCCTCGTGGGTTTTTAGTGGTTTGATTTCTTGTTTATGGCTTATTTTTATGTTGCCCTTATTCCTTTTATTGTGAAAATATTAGGAAAAATCACTGTAGAGCTGCTTATTAAAAAGGTCTTATATTTATCATATATCTAGAGAACATATTTGGTAACACGCATTGTTTGAATCCCCGAAAGAATACAGTAAAAGCTAAATAGAACATTCAGAGGCTCTTACAAAAAAATCCACCTAATTCTTCTTGCTACTTGAATAGTTGAGGTACTACATTCAGAAATGGCTGTTAAACATTTTTTCAGAGCCTATGAACATGCGGTCTTAGCTGCAGGGACAGATTTCCGCTCTGACAGACTATGGGAAATGTATATAAATTGGGAAAATGAACAGGGCAACCTACGAGAAGTTACAGCTATATATGATCGTATCCTGGGGATTCCAACACAGCTCTATAGCCATCACTTCCAGAGGTAAGGACAACTTAAAGCCTTGGTTAACTTCCTACTATTAACTCTGCTAAATAGGCATAAATATAAATAAATGTTTAATATTTTTGTAAAACTCAAAATTGTTCAATCCAAACAGGAACTTAGGAAGTTATTACACTTAAGCTAGTAATAAAAATGATTGGCTCTCCAAAAAAAACAAACCCTCCTTCTGGGTAAACTTCACTACTTAATTATAAGCAAATACATTTGTGTAGTGTCTTACTCTACCATCTATGTTTTAATAACCTACATTGTAGTTCTTACATTGATACTATGAGTGCACTGTTTCACATGCTAGCATTTCTTTAAATAAATAAAACTAGGGCTAAAAGAAAACTGGAGACTGAAAACGTTTTCACCTTCATTAAGAATGGGCAGAGATTTCTCTTTAGGGAGCCATGGAAGTGATCTCTGGAGCAGCAAGACCTCAAACTGATGCAAAATGTACAACACAATAATATGTAATAAATGACAGAATGTATTTAAATCAGCATTGCCTGGAGCTGCAAACCAACTGAGAGTTGTACAGACTGAGAACTTTTTATTCTTTTGAGCACTGAAGCAAAGTTTAGGAACTGGTCTCCAGAGAAAAACCAAAAATGTCAAAATTCACAAATTGGCCTATGACCAACTTTTCTGTAAAAAGGAAAGTGTGGGAATTGTTAGCAGGAAGAAAAATGTGGTGAACTTAGAAAAGGATGCATCTTACCAGAAAGTTTTGTTGTTCAGCTTCTAATTCCATATCCTGCTGCAATACTCAGCTGAACTGTTTTGTACCATAAACTAATTAAAGAAAAATACTTTATTCAGTTTTAATTAAACATTAAAAACCAGAAACCCTAGTTAAGAGGTACAGCAGTCTTCCTAATAGTTTATAAAGAAGTTTTTTAGTAGGAATTCCCAAGCAAGTGGTCATTCTCTGAGAATTAACATCCCATGCCATCCTATTCACTGAGCAGGTAGCCTTTTCCCACCACAGTTTGCAAAGGTATTCAGTTACAAGCCACTCCTTAATGTTTGCCCTTCATGGTACTTGAACCTTTTGAAACAGGAAGCTGCTTTGCACACCTGGTAGATATTACCTATGTATTATGTACACTGTGAGAAGTCGCATCTCCAGCAGAGGTCTAGGTTCTTAAACCATCCGCTTGTGCTAATAATCAGTTCTTCTTCAAGTGGTGTCCCTGTGGGTGCTCTGCTTTTAGATGTTGCACCCCTGTGCTCATAGCCAGAGATGTATGGTAGCAGTGCCCCGGTTGGGCCGCACATGCACAGTCCCCGTCTCGCGCTTCTTCAGGCGGTTAGCTGGTGCTGTACAACCAACTCCCCCCCTTCCCTCCTCCACCCCCAGTTCCTTCTCTGCTGCCGTTGGCTCAAGTCGGAGCACTCAGCAGCGCCTCACAGCTAGAAATAATTCTTTTTCCTGTCCCTTTCGTAGTAGTTCTTAGTTAGAATACAGTAGACTTTTTTTCCCCTTCTTACCTTATCCCCGTCCTTTAAAAATAAATAAAAAATTTTCCTCATAGGACCATAAATTTTCAGTCTGCCTTATCACAGCAGCACTATACTTTTATATCTCTCCGCATCACTGAGAGAATAAGCTCCCTCAGGGGCATGCCTGGCTCCCCAAGTTTTAAACGCTGCACTACCTGCCAGCTTTCAATACCCCTCTCAGACAGACACTCTCAATGCATCTGCTGTCTTGGTGAGGGACATGTACCGCGAAAGTGCTTGTACTGTCTAAACTTGAAAGCTCGCATGAGAGAGGCAAGGGATTTACAGCTAAAGCTGCTCCTTATGGAGAAATCTCTTCGCCCGGCGTCTGAGCCTGAGGTACGAACACCTCCTGGCCAGAAATTGCTGACTGGCACCTCGGACAAAGGCCCTTCTTTCAGGGGAAAAGATCCTGAACAACCTGTCAAGAGGGCAGCAAAGAAACTGGGCACCCTGTCCCCGATTCCAGAGTAGGCCAAGAAAAGGCGCTCCAATAGCGGCCAGATGCTCTCAGTACCGACCGCACCGGCCATAATCAACAGCTGACGGACCACGTCCCGACGGTACTAAGAAACCCAGAGCTCCAAAGCAGTCGAGCTCTGCCACAGGCGTTAAGGGGAAAGTGAAACCCCGTGCCACGGCACCAACAACAGCAAGCAAGCCATCAGTACCAAGCATTCCTGCACTAATGCTGCCACCTACTGCTGGTACTAGGCGCACCAACCACACAGCTGCGCCGATAAGCTCACTCCAGCACACGGTACTGAGCTCCACCATCCCACCGGTACCGAGACCAGACACGTGTCAGCAGTTCCTGTGCCACACAGACTTATCTCTCTCATCGGTACCACAGTCTCCTCAGCACCAACGGTACCGCGGTACTAAGCCAACTCAGCTCTCCACAGTTTTCAATGCAATCCTCTAGTGAGGAGGACGATGAAGAGGAGGATATTGGACACTCGCCACAGCTTTCCTCTCCCGTGGCTACTCCTGCCGCACAGTTCCCACCAAGCATAGGCTTCCCTGTAAATTTTACAAACCAACCCTGGTTGGGCCAACCATGGATGCCCACCATGCCCTTCCAACTGCAGTGGCCATTTTGCTGGCTCCATACTCACAGCAGCAACAACAGGGAGTACCCAACACTCTGCCCTTAACCACCCTTATTGCCATCAAAGGCACCTTCTGCTGTCTCCAAACACGGGGCCCAAGAACAGGAGTAATTCTCGGACCCAGACAAACCAGCTGACATAACAATTTTCATTTTCCTCCCCAGATGACATAATTATGCCCCACCACAGCAGACGATTGCAAGCAGTTCCAGGATCTCTACAAGCGAGTGGCCACTTCCCTAGATATCTCCCTGGAAGAAGTCCAGGAATCTCGCCACAAGCTAGTGGACGTACTTCACACATCCACTTCATCCAGAGTCGCCCTTTCCATTAATGATGTGATTATGGACCCTGTGAAGTTGTTCAGGCAACCCTAGCATTGATTCTACCTATCTGTAAAAGGTCTGATAAGAAGTATTACATGCCAGCCAAGGACACTGAATTCCTTTTCTCACATCCAACGCCCGAATTCATTCGTTGTTGACGTGGTGAATGAATGGGGTAAACTACAATACTATAGAAATACCCCGTATGATAAAGACTGGAAACGGCTCGACCTATTTGGCCGCAAAGCATACTCTGCTGCGACATTACAGGAGTCCAGGAGAGCTGGCTGTATTTCAAGGAATCCCTGTTGAGGTTACAGGGACAAACCATCCCGATGAGTCGAAAGAATAGTAAATATGGCAGGCGACCAGCTTGGCTTAATAGTGAAATCCTAGCGGATCTTAAACATAAAAAAGAAGCTTACAAGAAGTGGAAGGTTGGACATATGACCAGGGAAGAGTATAAAAATATTGCTCGGGCATGTAGGAATGAAATCAGGAGGGCCAAATCGCACCTGGAGCTGCAGCTAGCAAGAGATGTCAAGAGTAACAAGAAGGGTTTCTTCAGGTATGTTGGCAACAAGAAGAAAGCCAAGGAAAGTGTGGGCCCCTTACTGAATGAGGGAGGCAACCTAGTGACAGAGGATGTGGAAAAAGCTAATGTACTCAATGTTTTTTTTGCCTCTGTTTTCACTAACAAGGTCAGCTCCCAGACTGCTGCGCTGGGCATCACAAAATGGGGAAGAGATGGCCAGCCCTCTGTGGAGATAGAGGTGATTAGGGACTATTTAGAAAAGCTGGACGTGCACAAGTCCATGGGGCCGGACGAGTTGCATCCGAGAGTGCTGAAGGAATTGGCGGCTGTGATTGCAGAGCCATTGGCCATTATCTTTGAAAACTCGTGGCGAACGGGGGAAGTCCCGGATGACTGGAAAAAGGCTAATGTAGTGCCAATCTTTAAAAAAGGGAAGAAGGAGGATCCTGGGAACTACAGGCCAGTCAGCGTCACCTCAGTCCCTGGAAAAATCATGGAGCAGGTCCTCAAAGAATCAATCCTGATGCACTTGCATGAGAGGAAAGTGATCAGGAACAGCCAGCATGGATTCACCAAGGGAAGGTCATGCCTGACTAATCTAATCGCCTTTTATGATGCGATTACTGGTTCTGTGGATGAAGGGAAAGCAGTGGATGTATTGTTTCTTGACTTTAGCAAAGCTTTTGACACGGTCTCCCACAGTATTCTTGTCAGCAAGTTAAGGAAGTATGGGCTGGATGAATGCATTATAAGGTGGGTAGAAAGCTGGCTAGATTGTCGGGCTCAACGGGTAGTGATCAATGGCTCCATGTCTAGTTGGCAGCCGGTATCAAGTGGAGTGCCCCAAGGGTCGGTCCTGGGGCCGGTTTTGTTCAATATCTTCATAAATGATCTGGAGGCTGGTGTGGATTGCACTCTCAGCAAATTTGCGGATGATACTAAACTGGGAGGAGTGGTAGATACGCTGGAGGGGAGGGATAGGATACAGAAGGACCTAGACAAATTGGAGGATTGGGCCAAAAGAAATCTGATGAGGTTCAATAAGGAGAAGTGCAGGGTCCTGCACTTAGGATGGAAGAATCCAATGCACCGCTACAGACTAGGGACCGAATGGCTAGGCAGCAGTTCTGCGGAAAAGGGCCTAGGGGTGACAGTGGACGAGAAGCTGGATATGAGTCAGCAGTGTGCCCTTGTTGCCAAGAAGGCCAATGGCATTTTGGGATGTATAAGTAGGGGCATAGCGAGCAGATCGAGGGACGTGATCGTTCCCCTCTATTCGACATTGGTGAGGCCTCATCTGGAGTACTGTGTCCAGTTTTGGGCCCCACACTACAAGAAGGATGTGGATAAATTGGAGAGAGTCCAGCGAAGGGAAAAGATGATTAGGGGTTTAGACAGACTAAGCAGAGGTTGTTAGCTGGGATTGTTTAGCCTGCAGAAGTGAAGAATGAGGGGGGATTTGATAGCTGCTTTCAACTACCTGAAAGGGGGTTCCAAAGAGGATGGCTCTAGACTGTTCTCAATGGTAGCAGATGACAGAACGAGGAGTAATGGTCTCAAGTTGCAGTGGGGGAGGTTTAGATTGGATATTAGGAAAAACTTTTTCACTAAGAGGGTGGTGAAACACTGGAATGCGTTACCTAGGGAGGTGGTAGAATCTCCTTCCTTAGAGGTTTTTAAGGTCAGGCTTGACAAAGCCCTGGCTGGGATGATTTAACTGGGAATTGGTCCTGCTTTGAGCAGGGGGTTGGACTAGATGACCTTCTGGGGTCCCTTCCAACCCTGATATTCTATGATTACAATTGAGAATTGCCAACTATGAAGCCCTACTGGCAAAATATGATCACAATAATTATGAAAGTCTCTCGGAATTTATAAACTTTATTCCAGATGACAAAAAGGATCAATACAAAGCACTCGTCATAGAGGGCCAACTTATCACCAGAACATTACTCCAAGCTGCCCTTGATTCCACTGATTCTGAAGCAAGATCCATAGGAACAGCAGTCGTTATGAGGAGAGCCTCCTGGCTTCATCTATCCGGTTTCCCAAAGCCGGTGTAGTCCACCATAGAAGACTTGCCTTCGAAGGTGCCATACTCTTTGTGGACAGAATGGACATTGCATACCCTGAAAGACTCAAGGGCCACCTTGCAGTGTCTTGTTCCCAGGTGTGTGGATGCCCAGAGATGGCAGACCACTTACCAAACTCCTCAACAGTTCCAACCCCCTCAGTATACTCAGTGGAATAGGTATTACGACCAACAGGGGTGGAAACAGAAAGGTTTGAGGAGAAGACAATCCGCTTCCTCTACTACTAACTCTCAGCCATCAACTGCTAGACAACAGATTTGAAGCCTTGGTCGAGGGCTCGAGAATCCCATCTCTCTCAATGCTGGCACCATCTGTCAATGGCAAAATTTTTGGAGATCGCCTACTTCTCCATTCTGCCCCATCTGGTAGTCCCTCAGGACGATAGATGGGTATTGGAAATCATCAAAACTGGTTACTCCATCCCCCTTACCTGCAAACCCCCTACCCATCCCTGTTCAGGGACCCCTCTCACGAACATCTACTGCGGGAAGAGGTGAACCATCTCATATCCCTAGGAGCAGTAGAACCTGTACCGACAGAGTACAGCGGGAAGGGGTTCTATTCCCACTACTTTCTCTCACAGAATAAAACAGGAGGTTGGACACCTATGTAGATTTACGGCAACTAAACAAGCTTGTAAAAACACAGAGATTCAAAATGGTCACACTAGGCACCATAATCCCAGCATTAGAGAGGGTGGACTTGTTCTCGGCCTTCGATCTACAGGACGCATATTTTCATATATCGATCCATCCCTCACATCGGAAATTCCTGCAGTTCACAATAGCACAGGATCACTTTCAGTACTAAGTTCTACCATTCGGCCTTCCCACTGCACTGCGAGTATTTTCCAAAGTACTCGCCGTAGTAGCGGCCTACATACGCAGACAGGGAATAATGATATTCCCATACTTGGACGACTGCCTGCTGAAAGCACCAGTACTGCAGCCAGCCATATGTTCCACCCAACGTACAATACATCTCTTTATCTCCTTAGGACTTCAAATAAACTTACAAAAGTCCACCCTAACACCTGTCCAGTGCCTGGAATTCATTGGAGTGGACCTCGATTCCCTCAGAGCAACTGCCTCTCCCAACAAAACACTTTCTGACTCTTAACCGCCTTAAACTTAACAGCGCAGAACAGCTTGCAGGTGTCTGCCAGAACTTGCCTGCAACTCCTAGGCCACATGGCTGCCATGACCTTCGTCGTCCAACATGCAAGGCTACACGTGCGGTGCCTTCAAGCCTGGTTACGGACAAATTATGCTCTCCGCAGGCACAGCATAAACAAACTCCTCACTATGCCGAATGCAGTCAAGGATTCCCTGCTATGGTGGACCAATCCGGCCAGTGTCTGCAGGGTGTGCAGTTTCTGCAGAATCTGCCAGCGCTCACCATCACCACAGATGCATCCTTCCTGGGCTGGGGGACGCATCTCGAAGCACATTCTATACAGGCCCACTGGTCTCCAGCAGAGTCCCAGCTTCATATCAACCTGCTGGAACTCCCAAGCGGTTCAAAATGCCTGTTCTCATTTCCTACCACTAATCCAAAACAAAACGGTAGAGATCCTCGTGAACAATGTAGCCACCATGTTTTACATAAACAGACGAGGAGTGCAGTCACACTCCCTAATGTACAGAAGCCATGCATCTTTGGCATGGTGCATCAAACACAATGTCCATGTTATAGCTTTGTACCTTCCTGGCTTCCAGAATAACACAGTAGATACCTTGAGCAGGAAGTTTTATTAAGACCACGAATGGGAGCTGAACACACCAGTCATCAAAGATATTTTCCGGATGTGGAGGTTCCCAAAGATAGACCTCTTTGCAACTGCACACAACTTCAAATGCCCCCAGTTCTACTCCAGAACAGGACTCCGTCGACACTCTCTGGGTGACGCCTTCCTCATCAAGTGGAACGCCCCCCTCCTGTATGCCTTTCCCTCCCACCCCCCTCCTAGCCCATGTACTCCACAAGATAAAGCAAGATAGATCCAGAGTGATCCTCATAGCTCCCACATGGACACGACAAACATGGTACCCTTACCTTCTCCACATGTCGGTCTGTCCCCCACGCATGCTCCTGCTTCTGCCTCGACTTCTGTTGCAGGATGCAGAGAGCATCGTCCATCCATATCCTCAAAGTCTGGTTACTACATGGCTCTCAGGATCTGAAATGACATGTTCCACAGAAGTTCAAAACATATTATTAAACAGCCGTAGGGCAACTACCCGACACACCTACAGACATAAGTGGAAACTATTCGAATCATGGTGCCAACGCAAACAGATGGCACCTGTGTCAGCCTCCTTACCTCTTATTTTAGACTACCTACTGGAACTTAACTGGGACTTTCCATGAGTTCCACCCTTGTACACCTGTTGGCCATCATGACATTTCATCATAAAGTCAACAGATTCTCTATTTTCATGCATCCCATCACTAAACCCCTCTTAAATGGTCTCTCCAACTCCCATCTGGAAGTGAGAAAACCCTCCCCACCATGGGACCTCAACCTAGTCCTCCATGCCTTCACCGAGCCCCCTTTCGAGCCTTTAGCTACAAGCTCCTTACTACACCTGTCTGTGAAGGTTGCATTTCTAGTGGTCATTACGTCGGCCAGGCAGATTGGAAAACTAGCTGCTTTCATGAGGGATCCCCCCTATATGATCTTTTTTTAAAGATAAAGTATCTTCAGACCCCATCCTAAGCTTTTGCCTAAGGTGGCTTCATCGTTTCACCTTAACCAGCCTATATACTTACCTACATTTTTTCCAAAACCACTTACAGACAGTAGACAATCCAGAGTACGCTACTTGGACGTCTGTAGGGCTCTCGCCTTTTATGTTGATAGAATAAAATCTTTTCGCAAATCTCCAAAATTATTCATTTCTATCACCGAATGCTGTAAAGAGCACACCATTTCCAACAACGTCTATTCAAATGGATATCAGACTGCATCAAACTCTTTATCTCCAGTATAAATAACAACCCCCTACTGGGATCCATATGCGTTCTACGAGGAGTCTTTCAACCTCCGTAGCATTTCTCAACAACATCCCAATTGCGGAAATCTTAGGATCACAACCTGGATCTCCCCGCACGCTTTTACACAACGCTATGCGTTGCAACAACACGCATCTTCTGATGCCCTCTTTGGTCACACATTGTTTTCATCTGCTACGACTTCAACTCCGAAGCCCCCTCCTTCCACCGGAGGGCACTGCTCTGAAGTCACCTAAAGTGAAGCACCCACAGGGACACCACTCGAAGAAGAGGAAGTTACTCACCTTGTGCGGTAACAAGTTCTTTGAGATGTGTGTCCCTGTGGGTGCTCCACTGCCCACCCTCCTGCCCTCTGCTTTAGAGTTCTGTCATATACAGACTCTGCAGTAGAGAAGGAACGGGGGCATATGGGGGTTGGTCGCACAGCGCCAGTTAACCACCTGAAGCAGCGTGAGACGGGGACTGTGCTTGTACACCCCAACAGGGGCACTTCTACCACAAATCTCTGGCTATGAGTGCAGGGGCGCAACGACACCTAAAGTGGAGCACCCACAGGGGGACACATCTTGAACCTCTGTTACTGCACAAGGTGAGTAACTTCCTCGTCTTTGCCATATAATTTAGAATAAGTGAGTATTTTTTAAAATGTAAAAATTGTGTATTTGTTAGGTGAACAAATCCTGTTTGTTTGCAGGTTTAAAGAACACATACAAAATAATTTGCCTCGAGACCTTCTAACTCCTGAGCAGTTTATTCAGCTGCGCCGGGAATTGGCATCTGTCAATGGCCATAGTGGGGATGATGCACCACCCGGAGATGACCTTCCTTCTGGAATTGAGGACATAACTGACCCTGCAAAGGTAAATGTGCAGGCGAGCTTGAGGAACACCTTTGCATGTTTGTTCAATCTGCTGCTGCTGAGAGGAGAGTTTTCTTTTATTTGCACGTAGTGTACTATGTTTTTGGCTGAGCTGATTCCATAGGGTAGAGTGTCATCTCCTACATGTGAGCCAAAGAGCAGCAGTTAGTGTGTGATGGACAAGAAGAGATCTCCCTTAGACTACTTAGGTTTGAAAGCAATGCAATTAACATTTAATATTAAAAGTGATCTACAAAATTTTAGCAGAGTGTTGACTCTTTCAAATAAATGGGATAAGAGTTACGGCATGTTTTGTGAGGTTTTTTTTTAATATATTTATTTAATAATGGCCTGTGCAGATCCGTGCTCCTTGAAGGGCATGCAAAAGCGTGGAACCACCTAGAAAGAAGTGCCCATTTGGGGTTGTACCAAACTAAAGATGGAATCCTATTTGGATATGACACATGTCAGATGAATATCACTTCAGAAATTAAGAGGCGGACCATTGGATCCAAGACCTCCTCAGGTCCATTACACTGAGAGCTAAGACCATGTGCACTCTTATCCCACTTGTTCAGGACAGCACCTGAAGTAGCTGTGTATCTTTTTTATATTTTAATTTATGCAGATCACATAAATAATACAATACAATTGTAAACTTGATATTTTACAGAACAGTATTAATCACTTGCTTTTATCACGTATCTTTAGCTAATCACTGAAATAGAAAACATGAGACATAGAATCCAAGAGATTCATCAAGAAATGTTCAATCACAATGAACATGAAGTCAGCAAGAGGTGGACCTTTGAAGAAGGAGTAAGTTTTCTTGTGATAGCCTTTTTTTGTATGAAAGGCAGCGTGGTCTAAAGGCATGAACATGGGACTGGGAACCAGAAACTCCTGGTGTTTCTAATTCTGACTGAATTACTGTAAAGCTTTGGGCAAATAAATGGTTTTACCCTCATTTCCTTGGTTTTCCCATCTTCAATAAGAGTACTTTTCTAAAATCTACCAACATTAATAACTAATTCTCACAGCATCTCTGTGAGGTAGGTAATAAGTTTTACTTTGAGAGAGGCAACGTGGGGAAAATACATTTTACTAAGTGTGTAAACTTTTACATACAGTGCCTTTTTCGTACTATGTATAAGAAAGAGGGTACTGCTTCATAAATGTGGTATATTGCAGAATTAAAACTAGTCAATAAAAAGAAAAGCTTCTTAAAATTAAGTTGTCAGCAAGATAGAAATTGTAAAGAGTCCAACTAGGTGCAAAAATCTGATACTGCTCTGTTGGGAATTTTAGTTGTGAAATTCTGTTGAGACGGGCAAAAACTAACTCATGGGTCGGCAACCTTTCAGAAGTGGTGTGCCAAGTCTTAGTTCATTCACTCTGAGGTTTCGCGTGCCAGTCACACATTTTAACGTTTAGAAGGTCTCTTTCTAGAAGTCTATAATATATAACTAAACTGTTGTTCGCAAAAAGAAAAGGAGTACTTGTGGCACCTTAGAGACTAACCAATTTATTTGAGCATGAGCTTTCGTGAGCTACAGCTCACTTACATCTGATGAAGTGAGCTGTAGCTCACGAAAGCTCATGCTCAAATAAATTGGTTAGTCTCTAAGGTGCCACAAGTACTCCTTTTCTTTTTGCGAATACAGACTAACACGGCTGTTCCTCTGTAAACTGTTGTTGTTGTATGTAAAGTAAATAAGGTTTTTAAAATGTTTAGGAAGCTTCATTTAAAATAAAGTGAAAATGCAGAGCCCCCGGGACTGGTGGCCAGGGCCCAGGCAATGTGAGTGCCGCTGAAAATCAGCTCACGTGCCACAGGTTGCCTACCCCTGAACTAACTATTCATCCAATCACACCAAGTTGTGCTGCATGCTTTATAACAAACAGTAATTAAACTAAGCAGTCAATCAAAACAGGCATATGAAATTGTATATATTCAGTGAAGCCGAGTTACTTTTGCAACTTCAACTTCTGAATTCTTCATACATTTACCATGTAAACATAACAGGACATTATTTTTACCTTCAATTTTCTTTGTTTTTAAAGAGGAAGAACTTGCCTATGTATCATGTTTGCATTTAGGTGGTCTCAAATTGGGCTGTGACATTCACGTTTCATTAAAGGGAATGGGAGATGTGGGGAATTCCTGCTCTTGCTGCTGTTTGTCTGGCAGTAGTTTTCTGTTGGTTTAAACTAGCAGTTGTATTATTTCACATGGACATTGTGACATGGGTAGGGATGGTGTCCCTAGCCTGTATTTGCCAGAAGCTGGGAATGGGCGATGGGATGGATCACTTGATGATTACCTGTTCGGTTCATTCCCTCTGGGGCAGCTGGCACTGACCACTGTCGGAAGACAGGATACTGGGCTAAACGGACCATTGGTCTGACCCAGTGTGGCCGCTCTTATGTTCTTATGGGGGGAAAAAAATGATTTTAAATGGAAAGCTCATCATGAATAAAACAGTGGAGAAGGTACTCCAGAGCAAATAAGTGTAGGTCAGGCAGTGTGTAAAGCTGCATTAAGCTCTTTCTTGCATTGCATGGATTCTAGTCCATGTTTTTGAGTTCTCTGTTCTGTGTTTGAGCAGCGCAAGGTCTGTACGACTTTACAGTGGTCTGTAGTAGCCATAAAGGCTCAAAAACCAGAGGGGAGGCCTGACCATGGGTCCCCCCTTTCCTTGCCATGCCAGCAGGTTAGAGGGTGTATGGTATACAGGGCTTGCTATATACCAGTGCAGGATCACCCTTGCACCAGGGTGAATGCTTCCTTTTGGGGACCATAGTATGCTGTCAGTACAGTGCAAAGTGGCCGTGCCTGATCTGAGGATCCTGATCAAAATTTTTACATAAGAGTGGCCATACTGGGTCAGATCAATGATTCATTCTAGCCCAGTATCCTGTCTTCAGACAGGGGCTAATGTCAGGTTTTTGGAGGGAATGAACAGATCAGCAATCAAGTGATTGTCGTCTGCTTCCAGCTTTTGGCAATCAAAGGCTATGGACACCCAGTGCATGGGGTTGATTTCCTGATCATGTTAGCTAATACCCATTGATGGACCTATCCTCCATGAATGTATCTAGTTCTTTTTTGAACCCCGCTATAGTTTTGACCTTCACAACATCCCCTGGCAATGAGTCGCATAGGTTGACTGCATTATGTGAAGAAGTACTTCCTTTTGTTTGTTTTATTTTATTGGGTGTTCCCTGGTTCTTGTGTTAAGGTGTACATAACATTCCTTATTCATTTTTTCTCCACACCCGTTCTTGATTTTATAGACCTCTGTCATATCTCCCCTTAGTCTCTTACAGGTTCTTAATGCTGCTATGTTTGAGTTGCAGACAAGGCGGAGGATTGATTAATTACTAACAGCATTACTGTTGTGGGTAATTTATTGAAAAAAAGATTATTTTGGAAAAGCTGTTTTTACAAGACCTAGATTTTGGCCCAAACTTGAATTGGCAATTACAGTAACACTTTAAAATTAGTCACACTCTGAAATCCATTCAGATTTGGACGTTTGAATAGCCTACATAAGATTATTATTCTGAAAAGTCAGAGGGCTTGGTATAAATTCCAGTATAAAGTAACATCTAAACAGTTTATCTTGCTGTGTGTTTTTGAACAAGTTGTTGAATTTGACTCCCATGTTGTTCATCTGTTGCAGATAAAACGACCTTACTTCCACGTAAAACCTTTGGAGAAAGCCCAGTTGAAAAACTGGAGAGAATACTTAGAATCTGAGATAGAAAATGGGACACATGAACGAGTTGTGGTCCTCTTTGAAAGATGTGTTATTTCATGTGCCCTCTATGAGGACTTCTGGATTAAGGTAAGGGAAGGGATTTACTAACTAATTCTTCCTGATTGCAAACATTGATCTAGTGACTAACCTTTTGTACTCTTGTTGAATGTTGTTCATATATAACTATATCTGTTGCATTAGGAGATGGTCTGCTTGCAACCAGATTTGACTGCTGCATATGCCAACTTCGTTGCCTCTCTACGTCCTTCCTTACAGAAACTAGTCTAGTGGTTCAATAAAGGTGCTGAATGGGTTTAAACAAAAGAATTTTATCGTTCTGTCATGTATTTAAAGACCAAAAATAAGCTTTAAATTATTCAATCTATACTCTGTTTTCAAATGTAGTATGCCAAGTATATGGAGAATCACAGCATTGAAGGCGTGAGACATGTCTACAGCAGGGCCTGTACTATACACCTTCCTAAGAAACCAATGGTTCATATGCTATGGGCTGCCTTTGAAGAACAGCAGGGTAAGCCTTTTCTAGTTAAATTAGCCTTTTGATTGTTGCTGGCAGTGATTTTTTTTAAGAGTTGATGGATGCATGGTGTCTGCATTAAATATTTACCCAACATTTTTAGGAAACATAAATGAAGCAAGAAGAATTTTGAAAACATTTGAAGAGTGTGTTCTGGGACTTGCAATGGTTCGCTTGCGAAGAGTTAGCTTAGAACGCCGACATGGAAACATGGAAGAAGCTGAACACCTGCTTCAGGAAGCTGTTAAGAATGCTAAATCAAGCGGTGAATCGTCATTTTATGCCATCAAATTAGCACGACATCTTTTCAAAGTTCAAAAGAACCTTCCAAAAGCAAGAAAAGTGCTGTTGGAAGCCATTGAGAGAGACAAAGTATGTGTTTCTGAAGGCTTTATAAACAGTCCTGTGATATTTAATTTCCTCTTCCTTTTAGTCAGTGCGTTAAAACACGGCAACAATGATGACAGGTTTTCAGACTGTATGTAAAGCATTTTATTGCCACATGGAGACACCAGTCCCTCTAAGCTGACGTTGCCAG